CTGCTATTAGTGGTAGCAGTATAAAGGAGCGTGTCCAACGCTCGAGCCTCCTAAAGTCGAGGTATATAGCTATCTTTATTTTAAAAACTCGAGCTGATAACTATTTTTCATATGCATACTGATAAAATTTTTTTGAAAAAAATGTATTTAATAAGAGCATATTTTATTTTGCGTAGTTACTTGAATATTTAGTAATAGAACAGCACTATTCTCATCATTGATTTGATAAAGTAACGTACCAAATTGACTGGGCTGTTAAAAAAAAAAGTTTATAACTCATTACCAATGAGAATATTAATTAACAAGGTACAAAATAGAAATGCTCTATTAAAATTATATCTCTACTTAGTAAGCCATCGTAGGTTGAGCAATATGATTATAAACCATTTTTCCATTGGGAAGTAATACAGGAATTGGTACATAAATATTTCCAGGCCATTGATTCGCCTGTACCTAAGCAACGTGAGATATTTGTCCCAGTATTTGAGGAGTAGGCATGGCAAAAGCTTGCTGTACGCTGGATTATCCGGCGTACCCTGGCACGTGACTTGTTGACTATTGGTTCGTAAATATTAAACGGCGGTAACAAAATATGTTTTTTTCTCTCCTTACATAGAATGATAGTAATAATAATTAAGTTTGTTGAAGAAATATGAGGTTCTCAATTATATGGTAATTGTGTTAACAAGAAACAAACAAGTAAAGCACAAAAAAACTACCTGTGCGTACTCTGAGGCTTTAGTCATAGTGTCAGTAGTCCTTTGTGAAACAGAGTGAGGATTTGGTTCAGTTACAAATTGTGGTATACGGCTCGTGGTCCAGGGAAAAACTATTACTTTACAATAACTATAAAAATTATTTTGAATGCTTATAAAACAAAATANTCTACATAGCAGCTTCTACTTTATTTTTTATACGGTGTAAATACTCTTAAGCAGCAGCGATAGCTGCAATTTAAGGAGGTTCGTCTACTTTCACGATGGGGTTGAAGCTAGTACAGGTACTCTCACTGTGTTAAAGTAAGTTAGACTAATCTACCTAAAAACATCCTCCCTCTTGATGACGGAAAATGCATTTGTGTTCAACACTCGTGAGTATTTGACGAAACATCCATATATTTTGAAAAAATAGCATAATATACTATAAGGCATGTAGTTTCCTATAGACAAAACAAACCAGAATAGATACTTTTTCTGTACCAGTTAAAAATATCAAATAAACATCTTAGCAAGATTGACTTTCATTTGATGAAAGTGTTATGAACTTTCGGAAATAAAAATTTTAATGGTAAAGCATGAAAGTTATTGTACCACGATAAAAATGAGCTGATAGTATAAATATGATATCTGTTTGTCTCCTAAACACTTTTTTTATATGAATAGTTTTTTTATTCAATAAACTCTAAATAAATATGTTTTTTCCAAAGAAAAGAAAGAAAATATCTAACATTTACTCTAAAATTTTTCGTTTCTTCCATGAAAACTCATGTAAAAACCAGAATTAAGCTTTGATTTTCTCACAAACTATCTGGGCAAATCGATATGAAATTTCTACATAACACTTGTAACATGTCAATGAGTAGATTCTAATACTCTTACAAACACTCTTGTCGTTTTGATTTGGCAGACGAACCTTCTTACTAGAAAAATACAAATTCAAAAAGTAGATCAGTATTTTGTTTATATCGGCACTAATGTTAAACTATGATTTATCTTACTATGCACAAAGACGCATGTGCAACATCAGTAACAATGTACTGATGTAAATAGAAAATTTAGTTTATGAGATTCGAAATCTCGCGCCTTAGGATATTCTCTTACCTATAAGGGCCAATCATAAGCGTGCGCGCGTCTATTAATACACCAATAGACTCTGTTTATGCTTACCTTTGTCCAGCAGCTTGCTGCTGCTGCGGTTTTCGTTAGTCAGCCTCAAACGCCCTTTTCGGTAAGTCGCTTTGCGCTCGTGTTTTTAATTTTCACGTGTATCGTTTTATGTAAGATTATTGTAACGAAAACGATTCACAATTTTTATTGACACGTCATTTCTCAGTCTGACACAAAATTTAGTTCTGCCTTTTTTTTATCTTGCATGTAAGCAAGTATTATGACTTGTTAAATTCGAATTAAATAGAGAGATTGTTTTTTATAATAAACGGCTAAAGTGTTTAAAGTGTGTTGTGCATTTATTATTGTGTCCTTTTATTACATTCTTTTTTCACGCTCCCCCAAATCCGGCGTGCGATACACAAAAATATACAGTCCACTATCTTACTGAGTTCGATTTCGAACAACACATAATGACAGAAAATCTTAAAAATATTTAAAACAAATGTGTCTGCTATCTGGATTATGAAAAAAGTCTCTAGAACCCAGTCAGATAGGCCTTATCTCAATCAGTGAAAATTACAACCCAAGATTTCTGAAAATCAAAATCACTTGAAAAAAATTTTTTTTTAGAATGACTGGAAGTAATAGGAGATATTTTATATTGATTTCTCAAAATTTTTGCGCAATACTATTTTTAAATATCTTTGTACCAACAAGTTTAAAGAATTATATTGTTAAATAAATAGGTCAGCACAGTTAATCTCACGTTTTCGTTAGGAATAAATTATCCANCTTCTGACTTGTTAGCATCAAGGATGGGAGCCACAGGGTTACAATCAAACACGTCGCCGTATGAATATATAACCTTTTATTTATTAGTCTTTGTCTAAGTACAATCTCGCGATGGCAACACTCTCGCGTCCCGAACCTTTCTGCCTCACACACTCAGTTAATCTCACGTTTTCGTTAGGAATAAATTATCCAGATCTCTCAAAATGATAAATTATGTAACCTTGCAGCCAGCATAAAAACGTCAGGCTCTTCTCCAGACAAATATGAGGTAAATACATACTTATTTTCCAGTGTGTATATATGATCTAGCAATGTGTATAAAATAATGTACATTTATATACCTATATACACACAGAACACCTACAGGTTCCTCGGTTTCCTTAATTGGTGAGAATCTGATTTTTCCGTGGACGCGCGTAAGCCTGACGTCAACTTCCCTGTTTCTCTCTCGAAAACTTGATTTGAAACTCTAGTTTAATGTATTATCAGTGCAATACGAGGAGCATATAATACACAATAAGAATGAGCTTACTTCGACGTGCTGTCTTTTAGACACATGTGCTGCCTCGGTCAAATCTGCATAAGACGCTCCGTACGCCTTGATATTGGCTGTTATATTGCTACGCCAGTGTAAGAAAAAATGAAGATTATTTTCTTAAGAAGATCTGAAGCTGATCGATATATAAATTTAAGCAACAAATTTATTATTTTTATTGGTACTTAAGATTCTGTTTTTTAAACATTTTGTGTATAAAAAATCATAATTTAAATTTTTTGAATACTTTTTTTTTAAATTTATGTTTTTTTTTATAAAAAAAAAAAAAAAAAAAAATATAACTGAGCAGACAGTAAGGCTTAATTCGTAGTAACAGTAATGCCTAGTGGGGCAGAGTGAGCGTTTGGTTTTGTTGCAAATAAGGGATAAAGCTCGTGGCCTAGAGAAATAAAAATACCTTATAATAACGAAAAAATCAACGTCAATTGCCTATGAACCCATAGAGCACATAAACTAAATTCAGTTCACAGTATCCATAAAGAAACTTCATGATGTATCTCAATTTTAATAAGCTCAATATTCGTGGTGTTAAAAATATATTCTGATTCAGAAGCTGCAGGTGATGAGCTTTGTTGGTCTATTAAAATTTTTTGATAAAATGTATCAAACTTGATAATTAAGGCTATAGATTTACTTTATGAAGTGCTAGTGATTTAGTATACGAGCCCCTTGATTGCGGCTTCTTTGAGTGCACGTTGATATTCCTTTTAAATGGCAAGGGAATTATTTTTTTGTTTTATTGAATTCTTTAAGAGTTAAACTATGGATTTGAAGTTTATTTTACTTCAAAAACGTATCTCCATCATACAGTAGTTATTTATAAAAGTCTGTAATAACCTTAAATTTTATGAGTGCCATGTTACGTAGTTCGATTTCAGGATTTTTTTGCTCAAATACACGTCGAAGGGTGGATACTTAAAAAACCATGCACACGATTAGCTTTAAACATTTTATAAATAGGTTTCAGTAGATGATGAACTTTAATCATCTTAAAATAAAATTAAAAGTAAAAGTAGAAAAAGACTTATCACCAGTTCATTCGCTTTAATTACATGCTATTATTTGTTTAAAAATTAGAAAATGCATGGTGAGTTAACTTAAATTATTGAATGTACTATGTTGTTATCTTAACAACTACTGATCTGGCAAACTATAAAAATTATGGATGTATTGACGAAATGGATTTAAAAACAAGAAATCACTTTTAAAAATAAAAANAAAAATGACATAATATGGAAAAAAACTAAAAATAATATTAGATTCGATCAGCCTTGCAATCTGAGTGATGCATGGCAAAAAATAATGCTTACAAAAAATTTTTTTTTAATACACCTGTGAAATATGTACAACATGTGGTGTATTTTTTCTACAGGCTGTTTCAGCTGCACGATTTAGTAGCGTGATAGTAAGAAAAGTTTCATGTTCTGTTACTTACCTAAATTATATAGCTCCACTCCACAATCAGCACAAAAAAAACAGTAGTTTTCTCTGCAGCCTCATTCACACAAAATTATCTACACAATTACATGAAGTCTAGCGTATTCAAAGAATACAACCTCGAATAAAGGTTAAAAAATAAAAACTTTAAAGATAATTAAATCCACAAGCTCATGTAGATAACTTGCACTGCAATGTTCGCAGGTCGATGACAGCTTGCAGCTTTGACTCAGCTAGAAATGCAACACTACATTCACTACATTCACGTTGAAAATTTAGTCAAACTACCAACAAAATGCGAACGATTGTTTACAGGAGAACTGTCCATAGCAACCAAGATTGGTTGTCATGGAAAATTCCCCCAGGGGAGATGACCTTTTGGGGAAATGTCTATATCTCCAAGTATGTTTCCTTGACGTCTTTTAAACTATTCTCCATGCCATCCAATCAGTTAAAAAAAAATTTTTTTTTTTTAATTTATCTAACAAAGTGATACTGTTACTCATCAAATATTTTTAATACAAGAATATTGTTGATGTTAAGAAATACTTTAACAGAACGATTGTCACTAAAATTATATCTATAGTCTTTTTGCTTTTTATATTATAGTGCTCTATGTCCGGCCCCTCTAATAAGGGCACTTCTATGGGCACTTAGCACTTGGGAAAGGGACAAGGAAAGGGATGGAAGGTCTCGCATAACAGGAGGAGCGTAGGGGGAGATTAGGCAATTTTTCTGCTAGAAGGTCGCCTAAACCCTCCTCTTGCCCAAAAAGTCACACTAGTGGGGAATCGAACCGCAGTCTCTCACGTGCCAATCCATGACCAAGCTGACTGGGCTACCACGTGCTCTGTGTGTATTTATAGTCATATAGAACTTTAATTAAGAAAGCAAGAGTTTTTGTAAGAAAATAATTTTCCTATTAGTAAGATAGACATTCCCTTAGTAACCGACAAAGTATAAAACAATTCCTACAATATTTAAACCACACAATGATTCTACTTATACCCTTATACTTTTCTGATCAGAAAAAGGTGAATTAACTTATTATATTTAGGTAAAGACTAAACTAAACCATAGCACGAAACTTAACCCACACAAATTAACATGTTAAAACTTCTCCACGTCAAATACAAGTTAAACCAAACGATCTTTCAAAATATGCATGAACAAAGATATAAAAAATTGTCTAGAGTCAATAGTAGTAACATACCAACACATTCATGATCATACTTTTAATTTAGAAAACACAAAACCTGTTATTTGAGAGCCCAACTATAGAAAAAAAAAAAAAAAAAATCGGGAATGATAAATATAAAAATTGACAAAAATTCTGATAAGAAAGAAGACATGTATTCCGTGAATACAGCAAACTTCCCATTGTTACGTGGGTTCAAGGACCACGCGTAAAGTTTATTGCCCTATGTACCAACTGTTAGTTCCTTATATGAATATCCACCCTTTATAATGTCCTTATCACTGTTTCAATTTGTGAGCACATTGAATGAGCACTTTACTCACAAGGATATAAACAATGAGGATAGGTTAAAGAAATTATAATGTTATTTACTAGCCTAATTAGGCTAATACACCTTGCCAGCTAAAGATCGCTGAATCAAAACTAAAATAAAAATAATGCAACTCATAGTAATTTTTACTTTATCCTTAGTATTGGTAATTCCTTAGTCTTTTTCTAAACTCCAACAGCTATAAAGACAGGTAAGTCACCTTATTTAATCTTGCAAGTACATGGACACTTTCATCATCATCATTACCATATAAAAAGTGGAAGCCAACTACACAAATATTTATAAAAATTATTATTGTAAGAAAATATTTAGTGAGATCGAAAGACTTTTAATTATTTTTGATTATCAGGTCACATTTTGATCGGGTGCCACTATGAAGTGCAATGGATGTTTGGACACTTGGATACGGACAGTAGTGGTGAGCTTTCAGTGTTAGAGCTCTATGGACTCAAGCACGACCAGAACGAGCCATGTCTAAAGCCATTTCTTGATGCGTGTGACATTAACAGGTATGTTCTGAGATGATTTCTAAAATTATAATCTTTACAAGAGAAAATTAATCGAACAGTGGCTACTTTTTCTCATGTTCTTGTTTCATGTCTGTGTTAAATTCTATTCTATTTAAAAATTAAAATACATTATTAATTAGAAAAAGATTGCTATCTCCTGTTGATTTCTCTACCTTGTACTTAGCTTGGACAGTAACTTCAATTAAGAAGAACGTCAAAATACTATTTTTATAAAAAGACAATGCGATATTGTCCTTAAAAAGCGTGCTACACTACAACTTCCAAATAATGAAAATGGCGTACTTTCGTGATTAATATGTAGATTGCTATTTCTTTTGTAAGAGAACCTACTAAGTCTCTTTCATACTTAATTATACTATAAAAAAACTTCTAGCTTGAGCTAGCTGTTAAGGCTATTAATATCAGATTTAACTTGATTGAATAAGTGAGAATTAAGTTACACAATCCATCATGCTCTTCTTTAGCTGTACCAACATAACATTACAACTTGAAAATTACTGCAAGTTGATGACATGCCACATAGTAACCAATTAACATAATATTATGCAAAACAGTGGTTATTCAAAGTTTTTTACTTGGCCCATTACTGAGGGAAGTCTTTAAAAAATTAAAAAAAGTTGTAATCATTTTGGTTCACAAGATAAGCAGTTAAAATTTTATGTGCCTTTACCTTACCAGTGATAATCGTACTTGAAAGTTTAAATAAATTTTCAAGTGAAAGGTGATTTTTAGTTCTTATTTGAAAATGTATTTATTTTTTTCTTGAACTAGGTGTTGTTAGCATCAAGGATGGGAGCCACAGGGTTACAATCAAACACGTCACCGTATGAATATATAACCTTTTATTTATTAGTCTTTGTCGAAGTACAATCTCGCGATGGCAACACTCTCGCGTCCCGAACCTTTCTGCCTCACACACTCCGCCTCACCTTGCCTTTCCCCTCCGATGTTCCCCCTTTCCCGCACGCCCTTCTAGCTATAGGCATTACGCTTACGCAATTCACACGAGTAAGTATACCCATACATACATATACGCGCATACCATTCACACGCATACACATTCTCACGTTGCCGTACATCAGTAAGTAAACGTTATATGGGGATATAGAATGTACTATAGGCTAGGGTTATAAGTTATAACATTCGGCCATCCTAAGCGGAGCTTGGTCCCCAAGCTCTCATTACAAGTGATAGTCGCTAAGATAAGCGGGTGTTCGGCGCTCCCGCTTCCTCAATTCGGGCGATCGGTCTACTTGTTTGTCAATAGAGTCTTTGAGTTTAACCATCGTTTGCATTCCAGGATTTTTTTCGCTTACACTTTCGTTTTCACTCCCGGAGTCAAGGTCAGACTCATTACTATCGCGCGAGTTAGTTTCGCTGTCGTCGTCGCTCGCATCATAGTGTTTACCGCGCCAAATTTTTAGCTGACTTACATGTGCTGTCGTATCGCTTTTAGTCGCTCTCTTAGCAGTCAGATTTTGTATACTGTAAGTGTCAGAAGGCAATACGTCTGTAATAACATGAGGGCCTTTTAATTTTGATTGGAGTTTGGTCGATTCGCCAGTCGCTATAGGGTTAGATTTTATAAAAACGATATCGCCTTTGGAATAATTAACATGTTTTACTCTATGTCTATCGTAACGCTCTTTGGCCAATGTTTGCTCGATTTTGATCTTTTCAACTGCTTCGCGCCGTATATCTTCGGGTATGCGATAAGTCTCCACGTCGACTGTAAGTAGCCGGTTAAACCCTTTATTTTCCCGCGGTAAGTATCCACACAACATTTCAAAAGGGGTTCGTCCCGTGGTTTTGTTAATTGAGCTGTTCAAGTCTCGCTCGAGCTTATCTACTCGTAGGTCCCACGCGGGAGGCTCTTCGCCAGCGATGTTCGCTTGCAAGGCTGGTACGATTGTCCTATTTAGTCGTTCTACCTGTCTATTCGCCTGTGCGTGGCGACTCGAATTTAGGGTGTGACGTATGCCGTGTCTCTCGCAAAATTTCGTAAACGCGTTCGAGGTAAATGCGGTGCCTCGATCGGTAACGAAGCGGATAGGCGTGCCGTAGCGATTTACGAACTTTTCCAGCCATCGTATGGTAGTGGCTGCTCTCACGTCTTTGACCGTATACAGTTGAGAAAATTTTGTAAGATTACAGATCGCGGCCAGGATGTATTTATTTCCGCGCGGAGATGTTACGAATGGACCTAAATGGTCAAGGTGCACGATCACGAACGGTCTCTCCTACGGTGGTATTGGACGTAGTTCACCTGCGAGTTTTCCGGACATACCCTTTGCTAGTACGCATTCTATGCACATGGCTATATGCCGTCGTATATACGCTTTCATTCTTGGGAAGTAATAATATTTTTTTATTCTTGCCATGGTACGGTCGATCCCACCGTGACTGACCATATCATGGTTTTTAATAACAACCGCCTTTCGCATCGCACGGGGCACCACATATAAGTTATTACCGCTCGCATTGGTTTTCAACAGCAATCCGTTTTGCAGTACATAATTGAGCACTTCGCCTTTCTCACGTCGCGATCTTTCGCCATCCGGTTTCTCCAATATTTCGACCTTCCGCGCTAGTAACTCGTCGACTAGTTGATGCATTAGTATGTCGTCCTCGTGAACGGTAATATTGCAAATAAAGGCACGTTTTACACCTTCGGCAGGCTCGGTCGGCGCGCGCGATATTGCGTCTACATGCTTCATTTGCTCGCCTTTTCGATGACATATTTCGTAGTCGAACTCAGCGATCACGGCCAGCCAGCGGACAATCTGAGGGTTTTTTGTCTTTAACGAGTTTACATAGACCAGTGCCTGACAGTCCATAATGACAACAAAATACAACCCGATTAACCACGGTCTCAACCGTTCCATGGCCCAAATTATGGCCAGCAGCTCCAAACGGCTTGAGTGGTATGCATGTTCGACCTCAGACGTACGGCGGCTGATCGCGTACACCAGGTGCATACAGTTATTATTATCCGCTTGCAACATAATCGCCCATAGCCCATCGCTCGACGCATCAGTGTGTAGTTTGGTACGTTTTGATTTCGGGTTGTAGTGCGCCAAAACCGGTCTGCTGCATAGCTTTTTCTTAATCGTGTCAAACGCGCCTCTTTGTTCGTCACCCCATTGGAAAGCTTGATCCTTGCCGAACAGTTTTACAATTGGTCCCGATATATACGCGAAATCCGGTACAAACCGTCTAAAAAAACTGGCCATGCCATGGAACCTACGGGCTTTATGAACGTTCCGCGGCGTAGGAAATTCACTAATTGCCTTGACCTTTTGCTCGTTAGGGCTGATACCGTATCCGTTAACAGTAAAACCCAGATACACGACCTCGCTTAGCCCGAATTTACATTTTTTTAGCTTCAAGGTGAGCCCGGCCTTTTTTAGTAATTGAAGCACGAGTTCCAGTTTGTGGAAAAATTCCTCCCATGTTTTTGCGTAAACGAGGAAATCGTCAATAAAGTTTAAAGCCAGCTTATTGCCGTATGGCCCAAATATTTTTCTGATCAATTTTACAAAATAAAACGGCGCGTTCATCAGTCCGAACATTGCCCTCTCAAATTCGCCGGTCTCATCAGGTGTGATGAAAGCCGTTTTTTCTTTGGCCCGTTCGGTTAAAGGCATTTGTAAGTAGCCATGGGCTAAGTCCAAAATAGCGAAAATAGTCGCTCCGTGCAACTCTTCGAGCCCATCATCAATGTTCGGCATTGGAAAATTCAAACGAACCGTTTGTTTATTTAATCTGCGGTAGTCAACAACGAGCCTGTGTGTACCGTCCGGTTTTTTTACTAAAAGGCAAGGGCTTGCGTACGCCGAATTGGTCTCCCGCGCGATGCCAGTTCATTTCCAATCCCCGACGATTTTTTTATTATTTCACGTTGCTCAAAATTAGTTTTGTACGGTTTGGACTGCACCGGTCTGCTGCCCGGCTTCTCCTCTATATCCATAGCCAATTCCGTACAACACCCAATCTCGATTTCGTTCATCGCGGAACACTCGCGGTACTTATTCAGGAGATTTATTAACCTGTCTTTATGCTCCTTATTCATTCCATCTAGCACGTTGACGGTGCACTCAGATATTGGTTCGCGTCGGGGAGGTATCTCTGGTGCGGAGCCCATTACTGTCAACAAATGGTTACTCAACGCTGTACCTTTCACGATATTAATGCCAGAATAAGACGTGCACTGAAAAGGCAGGTTTACCTCCTTATGGTCGATTTTAAACTTAATAAAATTAATGCTCGCGGGCGGAATCGTTATTTCCTCATTTGCTACCGCGTCATCTCTCGCCTCGAGATCTTTAAAAATTTCTTCTACAACGGATAATTCGCCGCGATTTTTAAATATCAATTGATCCACGACCTTGCAATATATCACATGAGGTAACTCGGTGAAACTCTGCCCAATGATTACGTCATGTGGTTGCACGTCATCCCGTACGACGCGAATTCATATATCGGGCGCGATACATTCGTCAACACGCACACACGCCCTCACTATACCGGGTGACATAACCTCATTTCCCGCTTTACCGAAACCGACTAGCATGCTAGTAGCATGCACGAACGTCAGACCGTGCGCCAAAACCAGTGACGCTTTAATCGTGCAGTCGGAACTTCCGGGGTCGATTAAAGCTATAAGCACCTGGTCGTTGATTTCAACAGATTTCTCGTATTTTTTTGCACCATTAACACTTGGTGAACTTATGAGTAACGCGGTCGCATTAGACAGCTTTTTCGGTTTTTGACAGTCTTTCGCGACATGGCCGTCTTCCTCGCAATTATAACATTTTATTTCGCGTTTCACTGGGCAATTTTTTGCAATATGATCGGGCAGCTTACAACGGAAACAACGCACGCTTGGTGTTACATCACCTGATACATCACCGCGCCGCCCTATAATATTGGCGTCAGAACCTGTCATTCCGCCTGATGAACCCGCGTTGCTCGAGCGG